TAATACACCTATAACAAGGGCAAGATGCTATGAAAAAGCGACAAAGCTAAAGTTTTAAAGAAGAGTTCAGGAAAATCAAAATATGTGACAAGAGATAAATATTAGGCCCGGCACCATGGCCTAGTGGCTAAAGTCATTGCCTTACATGTGCTAGGATCCCACATGGGCATCAGTTCTAATCCCAATAGCCCTGCAGCAAGGGCCTGCCTAGAGTTCCCTCGTGAGGCCTGCATTTCGGCCTCCCAGCAGCAACAGATAGAGTCTCCAACAAGAGGAGCAGCAGCTTGGAAGGGGCGAGAGTGCAGACAGGAAAATCAAGCAGGAAGGTCCCTGAGGGAGACAGCATTCATTCCAGAGGCCACTCGCAGAGAGGGGTAAAGAGCATTGCACTCATATCTGGGCCACTTAGGGTCCCGACTGCCATTTACCAACTCCATGACCTCCAGTCAAGTCAGTTAACATCTCTGAAACGCAGCCTCCCCAGAGGGATGAAAGGGTTAATAGCACCTGCCCTGGCTGGATCCCAGGACTGCAGCAAGGGTCAAACCAGCAAATAATAACTTGCTGTGTGCAGCAGGCAGAGGCCAAGAGCTCAGCCTGCAGGTGCACCCCTTAAGCCGCCATCAGTCCAATGCCAGCGCCTTTGGAGTGACCCAGGCTCTGGGCCTCAGACGTGACTCCTGGAGCCCATGCACAGCAGAACTCCAACAAGGGAAGACACACTCCCTCACAAGCAAAGCAGACTGGATGGTTCAGGGACACCTTGAAGGCAACACTGAGGGGTGCAGGGAAGACCCGAGGTGTAGTCCCTAGACCTAGAGGACGGGCTTGGGGATTAGCAGCAAAAAGCTTCAAATCTTCCCTCCACTCCCACCCCATCCTGGGAAGCAGTGGAGAGCTCTTGGGAACTGGGGGAAGGTGGGCAGGGTCCCGAGGCAGCCCCCTCTAGGCTGAGGTGGGAAACAGGAGGCTTTCTGGAGCCCAGGGTCTGGGCCTTTCTTACCTTCTAGCGGCAAGAGGGAGCCCCACAAGGTGCAGCAGGAAGACTGGAGAGCAAAGAGCCCAGGTGTAGATGGAGTCAGACTCAAGGCCTGGGGCTACGCAAGACAGGCACCTAGAGCCTTGAACTCTGTGCAGGTGTCCCAGGTGGGCTGGCAGGGAGTCCAAGAACTGCCTTCCCAGGCAGCTCTCAACAGGGAACTGGGTTGGGAATGGAGCAGCCAGGACACAAAACCAGTGTTTGCATTCGGGATGCCAGTGCCACAATGCCATCCTGTGGATCATTTTTTTAAAGCTCATAAAATTATATATCTAGAACATGGCAAAGGCATTGAATTAGATGTTGGAAACAAGTTGAGGAAAAAAAATAACTATGAGGAAAGAAATATGCTAAATACAAGTCAATAGTGCAGGATTGAGGTCAGGGGCAGGTAGTGCTACCCCCTAGGAACTAGCAGACAGAATGTTCGTTGTCCTCCTGGAAGAAATCAAAATTGCCACAGGACCCAATGAACACCAGGTATGTGAGCACTGCAGTAGAGCACGGTAAGCTGCCACCACTCCGGATGCCTACATCCTGTAGCACAACACTGGCTCACGTCCCAGCGACTCGGCTTCAACACGCTTCCTGCAATGCATCCCGGGATGCGGCAGATGAGGCGAGGGGCTCTGCCACCCACGTGGGAGACCCACATGGAGTTCCTGGCTCCTGGCTTCACCATGGTCCAGCCCTGGCAGCTATGACCATTTGGCGTGGTAAACCTAGCTAGAAGTGCGTGCTTGAATTCTCGCTCTCATGTGCACTTTCTCTCAATCTCTCTGTGCCCCACTTTTCAAGCAGATGAAAACAAGGGTTTTTTAAAAATATATATAGTAAATATTTTTTATCCAGATAATGACAATCATTTCTACCAATACAGCTGTCTAGGTTACCATGGAAGTCGACTGTGTTTATTGTTTAGGCCAAAACAAGCAGATGGAAAATTCCAGCCGAGTTTTTCAGATGACCAGTGTCCAAGGCAGAAGAAGAAAAGGCAAGCGTGGAGCACTGGGAAGAACAAAGAAAGGTAAGGAGAGGGAAATGACTTGGGTTATTCAGGGAACTGCAAGTAACTCATTATGGCTGGAGCGTAAATTCAGCAAGAAAGCTGGGACAAGAAGGCAAGGTGTGCAGAGTGTAGGCCACCATTCAGGATGCCCATGTCCAAAACCAGAGTCCCTGGGCCTGAGTCCCTCACCCATTTCCCATCCCAGGTCCTGCTCCTGCATCTGGGAGGCAGCAGAAGACAGAACAAGTACTTGGGCTCCCGCCATCACGTGGGAGACCCAGATGGAGTTCCTGGCTCCTGCCTTGGCCTGGTCAGCCAAGGCTGTGGCGGGTGTTTGGGGATTGAACGAGCAGATGGAAGATCTTTCTCTGTCTACCTTTTAAATAAGCAAAACTTCTAAGAAGAAAGCTGGAGAGAAGAGCTGAACAAAAACGACAGGCATCATCTTGCACCTGCCCATGACCATGGTGGTTATGACAGCAGCTTGCACTCACTGAGTCAGTCGGGGCTGGGCCAGCCTACAAGGCAGGTCTACCTGGATGGCCTCTCTACACACAGGGAAAGGAGAGCTTGAGACTGTTGTTGAGGGATTTCGATCAAGGGTAGCATTATGAAACATAAATCATTCTCTACAAAATTCAGTATTTATCAATGAATTGATATGCTTTGCCTTTGCATCAAAATGCAACCAGTTGGGGGCCAAGCACGGTAGCCTAGTGGCTAAAGCCCTTGCCTTACATGTTATGGGATCCCATACGGGCGCTGATTCTAATCCTGGCTCCACTTCCCATTCAGCTCCCTGCTTGTGGCCTGGTAGCATCTCTACCTGTGGAACAAACAGCACATCTGTCTACCCCGCAGGCTGGAACTGGGAATTCTCTGCTTCTAGTGGAGTGTCAAAGGGATCTAGAGTTTTAACATAGTTAGAATTTAAACAGCTCGGGGCCTGGCACGATGGCCTACCAGCTAAAGTCCTTCCCTTGCATGTGCTGGGATCCCATACAGGCGTTGGTTCTAACCTGGCAGCCCCACTTCCCATCCAGCTCCCTGCTTGTGGCCTGGGAAAGCAGTCGAGGACGGCCCAAAGCCTTCGGACCCTGCACCTGTGTGGGAGACCTGGAATAGATTCTGGGCTCCTGGTTTCAGACTGGCTCAGCTTTGGCAGTTGTGGCTGCTTGGGGAGTGAATCAATGGATGGAAGATCTTCCTCTTTGTCTCTCCTCCTCTCTGTATATCTGACTTTTCAATAAAAATAAATTTTTAAAAACTTAAATACTTTCCACCGTTTTCTCTAGAATGACAAATCCCTATAAATCTCCACACTTCCTGAAACTGGAAACCATATGGGAAGTAAGCACATACAAGTCTGGTGTCCACTTCTGAAACAAACTGATTCCACTGAAGCTAGACAAGGTCTTGGTAACGGGTACAGAAAACCTTGCCTGCAGCTGCTCACGTAATCTAATGCTGCCCTCTAGTGACCAAAGATAGAAACAGCACTAACAAGCTAGCTGGCACCAGAAACATCTGATTTTCTTTTTTCTAGGATTTATTTTTATCAGAAAGGCAGATCAGATTTACAGAGAGAAAAAGAGACGGAATTTCCAATCGCTGATTCACTTCCAAGTGGCCACAAGAGCAGAGCTGAGCCAATCCAAAGCCAGGAGTCAGGAACTTCTTCCAGGTCTCCCACACAGGTGCAGGGTCCCAAAGCTTTGGGCTGTCCTCGACTGCTTTCCCAGGCCACAAGCAGGGAGCTGGATGGGAAGTGGAGCAGCCAGGACACAAATGAGCACCCATATGGGATCCCAGCACTTGCAGGGTGAGGATTTAGCCATTGAGCCATCATGCTGTGGGCTCCAGAAATGTCTAATTTTCACATGAGAACTATTTGCTGTGCAGGATCTTGCTGAAAAAAAGGGGTAGGGAGAAAGTGCACAACCTGACAGTAACACTCCACCAAAACAGAAAACACCCTTTAGAAGATTCTGGTGGACGGACGCAGCAACCGCTGAGCAGCAGCGACACTCAAGTCTGTAGGTTCAATTTCCGGTTATGCCCTCAACCCCAGCATCCTGGGTCCCACACCCACAAACGCGGCCTCCAGGCTCCCAGCTCTAGTCTGGCTCAGCCTTGGCTGCTGCCAACATTTGGAAAGCACATAATCAGATGGATGTTTCCTCTCCACTTCAAAAACATTTAAATACATAAAATCAAGAGATGTTTGGGTGAATAAACATATTCTATGGGTATCAAACAGATCTGGGTCATTTCCAGCACAGCTGGAAGGCTCCAGAAGACGCTCCAGGCATCTTGTATTGTCTGCTTGACACACTCGAGTGGGAACACTCATTCACTAGGCAGGGTCACTCCTTATCACTGGAAACTGCTTCCAAGGAGGTGGGCTGAAAGCTGTAAGACCTACTGGGGCCTTATCATAACCCAACTTTGCGATCCCTTTAATACTTTTTAAATGCTTTCTGTAGTATGCATCTTTCATCTTTTCCTAAGAAACACATGGACTTGCCTACAGCAAGCCTACGTTATGAATTAAGAGCCTCAGTTAAATGGAACATTAAGGGAGCAGCTAATCACTGGCAGGACAAGAGTCCCAGGGTTCCCCATGTCCCTTCCCAAGTAACAATGACAACAGAGTAGCAGCATTTTCATTTCCATGATCACCACTTGGAAGATGAGGACTCACCCCGTGGGAGCCAGGAGACCCACAGCTCCTCACAGCTGAGGTCCTGCGCATGCGGAGACCCCCGCTGAAAGAAGGTCACCCTCAGGGCTGACTGTGAAGGCAAACAGCCTCCGCTTGCACCAGAACTGCTGGCCACAGGCAGGCGCTGCATCGCTCATGTTTAGTCCTCAAAGAAATGCATCCATGTTCTCTGGGTGAGTGCACAGCCGGCCCACGTGTGGAGGAGGAGGAATCAGACACTGATTTTCAAACAAAAGCTGCCAGGTGTTTATTAAAACAGTACAGTTAACTGAAGCAAAGCTGACTCTGGTATAATCATTAGCCCTCAATTAGCACGCCTTCAGGAAGGCCTCTGAAAAGATGTGACAGGACTGGCTTCTCCTGGGGCTCATCTGGATCTAAGGAAAAGAACAGAAGAGATTACACATTTGACTGACAGCTCCCGGTCCCCAACAGAGAGCAGCCTTGAGAAACGACAGACATGACCGGCATCTTCCTAGGTAATGCTTTGCTCAAAACCCCTTAAGTACTACAACTCCATTCCCTGATTAAATCCAGCTGCACTCCCAGAATCACTCCTCAACATTCACGGGTCTCTGAGAAGACCAAACAATGAGTCTTCACGAACAGAACAACTGCAAAGTTCAGCCTTGAAGTCGCCACATGAGGTCAGAGGTGAAGCCATGAGAAGGGACGCAGGCTCTGTATCTGAACTAGTGGGCAGCAGAGCTCAGAGGTGGCCACTAATGAGCTAGGGGAAACAGGGAAAGCTGCATGCTCTCTTCTGAGAAGCACTCCAGGTCGGAAGACTTAAATCCATGCAAGCTACACTACAGCTGTGTCTGAGGGCGCCTCTCTATTAAGTCTATTCGGCTCTGTGGATAAAACTCAGTAACGACCATATTTCCAAAAATCAGCGATGCCACGTGAGAGATCTGACCTCGGCAAACAAAGCTGGACTGCTGCCCTCTGGGTGGGCAATCACAGGGCAGGCCCAGGGCCAGCCTCCTGGCCCCTCCCAGCCCACGGCCCTGACGCTGCAGCAACCTAGGGACAGCTCTGAAAGCGGACAGCAATGGTATGTCCTTCAAGCCTGTACCGTTCATAAAAACGATTTTCTTACTTCAAATACTCTCTTCAGAAATCTGAATAGTGATGTAACCTGAAAAAGCGAAAGACACATAATTTAAGCAAAATAAACTCATAATTACTGACAGTATTGTCGATCAGCTCACAGAGCAGCCACTGGGAAGATTTGGGGACTCGTGAGCAGGAACCAATCACAATTCTCATTCAGTTAGATCCCGCCTCCTTGACCTGACATTCTGAAGAATCTCAATGCCTCACACTTGCAAAAAAAATTAAGCTTGTTCCTGGGCCCACTGCGGTAGCTTAATGGTTAAATTCTTACCTGGAAACCGCCAGGATCCCATACCAGCACCACTACATGTCCCAGCTGCTCTGCTTCCCATCCAGCTCCCTGCTTGTGGCCTGGGAAAGCAGTCGAGGACGGCCCAAAGCCTTGGGACCCTGCTCCTGCATGGGAGACCAGGCAGAGGAAGCTCCTGGCTCCTGGCTTTGCATCGGCTCAATTTTAGTCATTGTGGCCACTCGGGGAATGAACCAGCACAAGCAAGATCGTTCTGTCTCTCCTCTCTGTAAATCTGTCTTTACAATAGAAAGTAAATAAATCTTCAAAAACAAAAATTAAGCTTGCTCCAAAGCCTTAAATTGGGACCTGTAAAACACTGAACCAGCCACAGCCAACAGACATACTGTCAGATTCAACCCACTTTTAGCGCAGCTGGGACAGTCTCCCTCTGCTGAGCTCTAACGGCCCTGGACACTTACTCTGAGAAGTTACAAACAAAGCAGCGGGCACGGTGGCAGGTTAAGACACCACGTGGGATGCCACCCCAAAGGTGGAGTGAGTGCCTGGTTCAAGTCTCCACTACTCCACTCACTCCCAATCCAGCCTCATCCCACTCAGACCCTGACGGGCGGCAGAAGACACCTGCAGCAGCCAAATTCCTGCCCCGTGCCGGAGCCCTGCCGTCAGCCAGACCCAGCTGCTGCCAGCTGCGGGCATGTGGGGGAGGGAACTCCCTCCTCTCTGCCTTGCAAATAAATAAAAGCAAACATTTTTGAAGCTTTGGAAAGGAATTTTAAAATCTAATTAGAATCTATACCTTTTCATAAAATCTGAAATGAAACAGCCACTTGGAGACTGATCTGAAATGACTAATGGAAGTGACCCAGAATGGAGCCATTTTCCTTTCAAAGTACAATTTGAAATCCCATTACTGTGTAATGGGAACTATCTTTTCAAAACCAATTTACACTCTTCCTTTTCTGCATCTCCAATTTCAGTATAAATCTTAAAAAAGAAAAAAAAAATAAGGAAGATGAGAGTCAAGGTGAACACTCTAGCACACTCCACAATTAAGCATGCTGTATAATTTGAACCCAATTGCAGGAACAAACTCCATGCCTTCCCAGCTTCGAAGGAAAAGCACAGGAGCCTCTGACTTGAACATAAACACGTTACCTGTACATCAGGGCCTTGCCCTTCTCATTCCCCAAGGCAAAGTATCCACTTCTGGGGGAAAAATCCATGGTGTGAATGTGAGAAATATTCTTCTTAGTGACTGGGAAGTTAGAAAACACTGTACAGGAAGGCAGATGAACCTGCAGGAGATAAGAAAGACTTTATGTTACAACTAAGAAACCATTTTTCTTAAGTTTTAATCTGCATTCTTTCTGTTGGAACAAGCTCATTTACTGTGGCACACGTCTAAGCACAGCTCTCTCATGGAACAAAGGGCACTGACACCCAAGTCTCAGCTGGGTGCCTGGCCAGTGCTGAGGGCCCACGTCCCACACAGGAACCTCCAGCTCTGGCTCCTGGTCCTGCTTCCTGTCGACGCAGACTCTGGGAAGCAGCAGGTGATGGCTCAGGCACTTCAGTCTCTGCCACCCGCATGCGGGCACCGGCCTGAGCCTGGTTCCGGCCCTGCTCCAGTCCCAGCCGTTTCAGGCATTTGGACAGTGAAGCAGCCGATGAAAGGTTTCTCACCTTTGCCTCTCAAATAATTTCAGAGTGTCCTCATGTGATCAACTTAATGTTTAAGTGAAAGGGGTGAGAGGCAGCATTCTTACACTATCTAATACAGTGCCTGCAAAGCTCAGATGTCTACTGCAAAGCGGAAATCAATAAACTGAACTCAAAAGTCAAGGTCACCCACTAATGCTCCAAGTTAATGCCACAGTGAAGAACACTAGCACCTGGGACAGGGACGAGCACAGTGGCACATCAGCCTAATCCTCCACTCTGCGTCTCCAGCACCCCACATGGGTGTCGGTTTGTGTCCCGGCTGCTCCACTTCCAGTTTACCTTTCTGCTTATGTCCCGGGAAGACAGCAGAGGATGCCCAAAGCCTTGGAACTCTGCAACCGCAGGGGAGACAAGGAAGAAGCTCCTTGCTTCAAATCAGCTATGGTCACTGCAACCATTTGAGGAATGAACCAGTACATAACAGACCTTCTCTATTCTTCTCTCTGTAAAATTTGCCTTTCAGATAAAAACAAATCTTAAAAAACAAAAACCTGGGGCCAGCTTTGTGGCATGGCATGCTAAGCCACTGCCTGCAACATGAGCATGCCACATGAGTACCAGTTAGAACCCAGATGCTGCATTTCTGACCAGCTCCCCACTAATGTGCCTAGGAAAGCAATGCAATATGGCCAAAGTCCATGGGCACAGCACCCACAAGGGAGACCTCGTGGCATCAGTGGGGCACATCTCCAGCCACTGCAGTTATTTGGGGAGAGAACCAGCGGGATGGAAGTCCTTTCCTCCTGTGTCCTGTCTCTCCTTCTTTCCAATTCTGCCTTTCAAATTAAAAAATCCTAAAATCTGATCACAGAGAACAGAATATTTAAACATTAATGAAGTCTGGTTTTATGCAAATGAAAAGTCCTGTCTTCCAATTCATGTGCAAAGTCCCATCAAGTATCCCACCATGACAAAATTTCCCCTTTACATTTTTATTTTTTGTATTTTTGCTAAATGTTTTGCCTTTTGCAATCTCTCCTTGAAGTGAAGTGAATGACAAAGACCCAATCTACCAAGTGGAACTGTGTTCTGTTTAAACAGAGCCAGGGCTCCCCTGAAGTCAGGCCTCGGCGGGCGGGGACACAGTCCCTTCCTCCAGGGTGTACTCCTGGGGCAAACGGGCTCAAGTCCAAGGCAGGCAAGACAAGTCCTCTTTCCAAGAGTGGATGAATGAAACCTAGGTAAAAAAGTAGTTCCCTCAAGCAGACAAATGCTCTCCAACTCTCCATGAATTTCAGCACTTTCACATTCAAATACGTGATCAGCTATCACCCAGCCAGTCACGTAAGGCAGTCTGTCATCACCCACATTTTGGATGGCTTCATGCCACCTAAGCAAAGATGATTTTCAGACAATATTGGGTAAAAACCATCAATACACACACCTGTGTATTAAACAGGCTTCAGTCAGCTACTGACGCAGCCAACTCCCTCTGACACTAATTACTACTGACCACTTTGTCACAAAAAGGAAGCTTAGGACGATTCCTCAGGCTAGACAGAGCTACTGTCAACTTTGCCAGGGGCAGGATTGGCCTGCACTGCATGCCCGCCTGCTAAGGGGAAGCAGTGGCAACCTACTACCCCAAACAAGCTGGCAGTGCCCCAATCTGATCTTAACTTCTGAAGTTCTTAAACACAGGCACCCCAAGGCATTAAGTGTGTGCTCTTATTTAAGTATGCAACACAAACTCCTACTTTGCGGGGAGGAGTCATAATATGTATATTGCAGGATGTTTTTACATCAAGTTTGGGAATGCAAAAAGCACCTGATTTTGGTAAGTGCTTGTCTTAACTGTTTTGCTTGGGTTATTCTAAGTTTGCTCCACCCATCAGCACCACCACCAGGCAAGTGACAACTAGGAACAAGGATCCACAAGATCAGAGAATAGAACATTAGGGACAAATATTTGCTCCAGGGCAGTGAACAGTGCTGGGCCACAGCAGCCCACTGCTCCCTTCCACCTGTCACCGACACTCCCACAGAATGCCCCCACCACTTTCTTCTCAGCATTCCTGGCAAGACGGGCACCCGGGGAGCTGGTTTGCTGACTCTTTCAAATGAAAACATGTAAGAACCAATTTACCTGTTGAGTCATTTCTTACAAGTAATTTATATTAAATCACTTTTTATTCACAACCAAAAAAGGGAATAATATATTGGTTCTTAATCTAGTCCCACGGAATTGCCTGCTATAAATAAGGGCAAAAATTGGAGGGAAAAAAAGCATGGCAACTTTTTAAAAATCTATTTTTGCCAAAAGGTAATGGTGTATTTTTACAGCTTAGGAACAGACAGGGCACACTGGCAATCTTTGATGCAAACGACACCTCTTGGATGTAATACCATGATGCAACAAGAAACCTCTGCAGTCAGACACAGCAGGCCCACATCCACACCAGGGTCCCCATCAACCACCCACATTTATTATTAAATTTTATCTCCTTTGCTGACTGTGCACCTACCTGCACAATTCCCCAGTAAAATCTCTCACTGCATCTGCATTTGGTGCCTCTTCCTTCACACAAATGATCTCATGGGGTTACGACTTTTGCGTTCTGACCTCTCTTTCTCTGTCTTACAAGGTTAACTACTAGTTAACAGTAAATCCCATAAAGCCACAACTTCATTAATTCCTTCCCTTTATATCCAAAACCATTTCTATCATGACATTAAGTGTCCACATATTAAAAATCAACAAGTAAAAGCTATTCCTCCACGGATTTAACAGATAGAGTCCCACCACTTTCTCCTACATCCAAGAATGCAGACATATTAACAATCTGTCTTCAGAGTCCCCTACTGCTGTAATGACTTAGATTTACAGTCACTGCTTTGAGCTGGGAAAACAGAAACGGTTGGAATCATTATAAGCACTTGCACTTAATGGCACCAACACTGCTTCACCGAGGCCCTCTGAAGCGGCCATGCCTGGCTTCCTTCCATTACATATGATGGCTGACTACCACTTAAAAAACACGATTTGGCTGCTTCCAATAAATTCCTTGTGTGATGCTGCCACAATAAAAATACATAAATGCTGTCATGATCACTGAAGCAAACTAGGCAGAACCATTATGCATCATGCAGAATAGATTATGTCAACAGGACACAGATCCCATGGTTTTCAAAAACAACTTACTACTATTAAAATGCTGAAAGGTTAATATGTACTACTATGCCACTGCCTAGAGGAGGAGGGCTTTTAAAGATAACCTGAATGAGAACCTTCTCATGTATCGAATGTTCCATTCAACAGAGTGGAGTAAAATGCAATGCCCTATCCTTCAATTTTTTCTGTCAGAACAGTTTATCAGGAAATCTTATGCAAATAACAGCAACACCGTTCTTTGCAATATGGCAGAAGCCTCACTTCCCCCTGCCCTAATGACCACAGAAATTTTGTACAGATTCTAGGGGTCCGAGAAGTTTCCAGCAAAGCTACTGTGATGCCAGAAAGAATACAAAACCTAGAAGCAAATTCTGTCCTTTACTATTGACAGTGGGCATATGAATCCTCTAGTGGACTGCTATTTGAGTCAAAAACCCTATGAATGACTATTTGTAAACAACACACTACTATAAGAGACTGATGAACTAACTGAGCCAGATCAAAGTAACTGTCTGTAAAAGCATTTAGTCTGGTCCCAACCTCATACAACAGCACAAGGTAATATTGCTACTTGAAGTTCTATGTCGTCAGTATACCCAATATCTAGAGCTGGTTCTGTCTGAAGAGCAGGAAACAAACTTAAGACCAGCTGTGAGGCTGGGCAAGACAGTTAACGCACGCTCAAAGCTCTATTCCTAGACACTCTGTCCAAGGGTAGCCTGTGGACATGATACAGGCGACTCACTGTCCCAAACCACAGACAGAAACAATGCAGCTGATACTAAGCCTGGCTTTACATCCGGAAGCTGAAAACTGGCAAATGCTAGCTGGATGGTACTCACTTGAACCCCCAACAAAAATTTGGCCACTGCAATCCTAACAAGCCTCCCAGGTAGGGCAGCTGGGGAAGCTAAGCAAGTCCCATCTGACTCTCCCAGGAAAGGCCTCTCAGCAGCCAGCCGGCAGTCCTCTGGACTCCAGACTCCATCTTTTCCCTTGGCTGGTTTTGCTTTGCTGCCTTTCACTGTATCTTTGCCATGACAGTCACCAAATGCTGAGTCCTTCTAGCAAATCACCAGAGCTGGGGATGGTCCCAAGTACTGTCAGCTACCTGACTGGCAGGATGTTCACAATAATTTCAAGTTCTGTTTTATTTCAAAATCTAAGAAGAACTGGGGTAGGCAGGAACCTTGCGGTAAGATGCTAGTTAACAGCCAGGTCCCACGTAAGAGCCATCATGTCCACTCCCCAGCCAGGCCCTGCCTCCAGCTTCCCACTCCCACAGACCCTGAGAGGTGGCACTGACGGTTCCTGTCATCACTCACACCACCCACATGAGAGGCAGAGGAGCCAAGTTCTGGCTCCTTGCTCCAACAAATCTAGCTCCAGTCTAGCTCCAGAGACCACAGCCTCTGGGGAGTGAGCCAGCAGATGGAATCGATCAACCTGTCTAGTCTTATTCTCTAATAAATAAAAAAAAAATGAAACTCATAAAAAAAAATCTAAGAACTGCTTATACTTCATTTATACACGTTTTCAAAGGCAGAGGGACAAAAAAATACGTAGAAAAATGATGTATTTGCCTGATATTTATTCCTTAACACTTCAAAAAGTTTGCAGAGGGGTTAGCATTGCACCATAATGAGCAAAGCTGCTGCCCACAGTGCCAACACCCCATATGGGCACTGGTTTAGGAACAGTAGCCTCATTTCCAACTGGGCTTCCTGGTAAGGGTCTGGAGAGGCAGCAGCAGATGACGCCAGTGCTTGGGCCCTTCACCCACTCGGCAGACTCGGAAGAAGAACCTGGCCCTTCTGTCTGGCCTGGCCCTTCTGTCTGGCCTGGTCCCAGCTGCTGCAGCTATCCGCAGACTGAGCCAGCAGATGGATGACCTCTGTTTCTCTATCACTCTTGCTTTCAAATAAGTATAGTTCTTTTTTAAAAGTAAAGTCTGTGGAACACAGAATTTAAAGAGTTTACCTGCATGCAAAAAAAACACTGAAATCCAGGCATAATTATTTTAAAATATGCATCTTTCAGCAAATTTTTTTGGAGATTCTATATATGCACACACTTCAAATTTTTTGGCACCAAAATAAACTTACCTTTAATTCCACTTTCCACATACAGCTAAGAAAGGACAGGATGGCTCTCCCCAAGAAACTGACCTAATACATATTTGGTGACCACTGTACATAACCTTAAAAACCATACCCAAAAACCTGCATTGCTAGGGCCAGTGCCACAGCTCAGTAGGCTAAACCTCCGCATTCAACACCGGTATCCTATCTGGACACAGGTTCTAGTCTTGCCTGTTCCACTTCTGAACCAGCTAGCTCCCTGCTGTGGCCTGGGAAGGCAGTTGAGGATGGCTTAAGCTCTCAGGTCTTTGCACCAACATGGGAGACCCAGAAGCAGCTACTAGCTCCTGGCTTAAAACTGGCTCAGCTCTGGCCATTGTAACCATTTGGGAAGCAAATCAAAGGATGGACGATCTCTCTGTCTCTCCTTTCCTCTATAAATCTGCCGTTCAAATAAAAATGAATCTTAAAAAAAAAAAAACCTACAATCCTAGTAGTAATTCTATCCCTAAATATGCCCTCTTTTTTATGCACTCACTTCACATTTTAAGATTACCAAAAATGAAAGGAAGGAGTAAAGAAATATTACCAATCTGACTCCATCTTTCATTTTATCTGAAGCAATTGCCAAGATTTCTGTAGTAGGGTTGAAGGCCACAGAAGTAACACCTGTAACCAAGTTCATTATAGCTTTGATTGGCTTTGGGTTTGTTTCTTGGAGACAAGAATCTTGGTTGTAAATGTTAACCACTCCACAATTGGAACTGTAAAGAGAAAGAGAAGAATTTAAAATCATGTAAAAGGATTTTGCAATACAAGAAAAAACAGAATTAGCCCCACAAACTGGTATTTGAAGGATTCATATGGCACAGGCGGTCCAGTGGCTATAGAGTCCACCCCACAGCAGAAGACACACACATCCCAGGGCCAGCATCGTGGTGTGATGCGTTAAGTCACCACTGGGATCCCACACTGCAGTGGCGGGCCCAGACCAGGACACTGGCTGGCTGGGTGTCTACACTGGCTGGCTGGGTGTCTGGTGCAGCCTGCTTCCTATCCCCAGCACGGTGTTATAAGAGCATCAATTGCTATTTTCCAGGACATGCATTAGCAGGAAGCCAACTGGGAAGCAGACTGGCATGGACTTGAACCGGCCACTTGTGACATGGGACATAGTCTTCCCAAGCAGCAACGTTAAACTGAACCACATACCCACCCTCCACCACCACCACATGAATTCATGGCCACGTAAACTCATCTCTTGCAACATTGCTCTTCCCCCTCCCTTGTTCAATGGCAACTTCAACCACCAGCTGCCCATGCCTAGAGCCTGAAAATGACCATTTCTCCCACCTCGAAGCACCTGTCATTTTTTGCCCACACCCTCTAGCCCCATGCTGTCTGCCAGCGGATGGGAGCTCTTTCTCCTCTCTATCACTCAAATAAATAAATACGCTACAAGGAAAAGATTTTGACTGCTTTCACAATAAAGAAATGTTAATGTCTGAGTACATGTTTATTCAGCTTTAAACATTATACAAAGCATACATACATGGACTCACAACATGGAACCCCATAAATTTGTATAACTGTTAAATTTTCTATAAATCCTTGAGGACTTCTTCCTACTCAATATAGTTTCAAAACTGTAACACATCTTAAAGACTGCTAAAGCTGTGCCCTGCCTGCTGTTGTAGCCCAATCCTTAGCTTTCATCCCACCTCCACTCCACTCTAAACACAAATTCTCCCAATTTCTCACCCTTTCCACTAATGCAATGCCTTTGTCCAAATCCTACCTGGCCTTCAAATAACCCAACTCAAGTACCAGTGCTTGCCAAAAACACTTTTCTACATGTTCAATCAGAAATACCATTATCTCTGATCTTTAAAAAATACTGTATCTCAACTACAGTCTTGATGAGGGTTTGCCTTTATAAACAGATGTTTGTATTCATCCATCTCCGTCAAGATCATGAATTATGAGAAGGTTGTAGTGTTGCTGCCCTGTCCATCTCCCCGTGTAACTGCCAGGAACCCAACTACATGAGACATGATCACTGCCCAAGGTCTGCACTAGCAGGAAGCTGGCATCAGGAGTCAGGGTGGGCACTGAGTCCAGCCCTCCAAACACAACCAGCACCTTGAGCTAGGCCAACTACTCATCACTGAGGCTATTTATGTAGAAGATCATATAAATGGTACAAAATGATTCACAATCAATGCAAGCTAAACCGTATTTTTTTAAGATTTCTTAAATCATACAACTCTTAGTAATGGTACTACTCACACATTTAAAAACACAAAAAATATACAATGCTACAACAGGTGGGGAACACCAGGCCTACAGGCTATAACAGGCCCACAGGATCCTACGGCCCGGCCCTGCCAAGGCAATCACAGGTGGGACTCAAAATTCAATCCATTTGTAGCAGACTAATTTTCAAGTTGATTTTCTATGGCTATCAATATCCAAAGGCCTCTGGCATCAAAAAAATAAAAAAAAAAAACAAACTTCCCCGCCCCAGCAAAACAGCACTACTACGTTTAAGAGCTGAGGCTTGGGAACCAGACAATCTGGGCTATAACTCTGGATCTAACACAAGCTTAACCCACAGGGCCTCAGCTGCCTAACAGTCGACCATGCAGCGAGAAATAAGAATTTCTTATGCAACACATAACACATCAAGCACTACTTGTCACATGGTAAGTAAGATACATTTTCATTCTAACTATTCAAAGCACAGTTCAAAACCATATGGAAACCATGGTAACAAAAAATCATATTCTGTATTTTTCAGATGTTAATGAAGACTGAAGTCAACAATCTCTAACCACCTGATACAACCTGGATTACAAAAGATAAAAATGGCTATTTCCATGGGTTTGACCTATAGTCCTCACAGGGGTGTCCAGTTTATACACACCTCCAGCAACTCCAGCAAAGATGGGCGCCCAGGGTGCTGACAAATCCATGTACCATGCAGGACATTCAAATCTTAACACTCTCATTGATGCAATGCGAGGAAGGTGACAAAAATTCCTCTTTACTCACCCACAAGCCACATACTGTCCATTCCTGGATGCGGCAATGCTTAATCCATACAAGCTGCCCTCATCCACAAATCTGTTAAGGCACCGTCTAGAGTTTACATCCCAAACATACACTTCTCCATCACCTGAGTGAACCAGCCAAAAAAAAAAGTCTGGTTAGTTTCACTTTCAGTCCTACGTAAGAGAACAAGGAACTATAAAGACATATGATAACCTCCTGTTTCTAGAAAACCACACTAAAACTATTTCTTTTGGGGCCAACACTATGGAGTAGGGGATAAAACCATTGCCATATGGACACTGATGTTGAGTCCCACCTGCTCCTCTTCCAGTCCATCTCCCTGCTAATGCGCCTGGGAAAGCAGCAGATGATGAATCAGCTTCTTGGGTACCTGAACTCACATGAGACACCAGGATGAAACTGCTAGTTCCTGATGTGGCCATTTGGGGAGTGAACTGGCGGATGGGAGCTCTCCCACTGCCTCTCTTTCCGTGACTCTGCCTTTCAAATAAATAAATAAATAAATCTTTGGAAAAATGTTTAAAAGTTAAAATAATATGACACCCATCACAAACTCAATTTTGTGAAACTGATTTGAAGACAAAACAAATACTAATACTCGAGGCTTCTGTTCTTTCTCTTTTCAGAGTTTTTTTAAACCTCTAAAAACATGCTGAATTACCAAAGGCTCTGAGCTGAAGTAGATAAAAAGCTCTGCAGACTGCGGAACACGGCTGCTGGCTGAGCCTTCCTAACACTCCCCGGGACCCAGCAGGGCAGAAGCGAGGCTCACGGCTAGAACTGTCCCCAGAGGAGGGTGCCCTTGGGGCAGGTCACCAGTAACCAGCCACAGAAGAAATGAGTCCACTCATGAAGAAAAGTATTCACACCCTCCAAGTCAAAATGATGGTGCTGCTGAGATACCAGGGGTGATAAGTTTGAGCAACTTAAAAAAAAAAGATAAAATGAAGTATGTATTAACTATGCATATGCATGCCCACTCTTGTTTATCAAAACATGCGAACACTGCACTTTTAACAATTACTCCTTTACCATGACTAACTCAGAATGAAAACAGCAATACAAATTAACCCTAAAAATAAAGTTGGCCTATTAACTACAAAGGAGATAGGAAATCAAACACGGATTCTGGCTAAACTTGAAATGGAAACACACCTGATGTTTGTATCATGTTAATAATATAACTTACCTGAAGAGGTAAATATTTTTTTACTATCTGAAGAGAATGTCGATGCTGCGACTCTTCCATTAATTTTCATGCTACCAATCAGTTCTTTGGTCTAAAAGAATAAGTACTGTTTATCAAACTGTTAAGTGTATGGAGGTTCACACTGTATAAAATTTTTTAAAAATCCAGTTCTCTATCTTCTAACACCTACTTGACGCTGTTCTTCTCAATACTCAAGTTCTCTCTGGGGGGTGGGCATTTAACCTAACGATTCCACTGCTGGCGCAGACGCTCACGTTAGCTCCCGGGTTCAGTCCCAAGCCAGGCTCCTCACGACCACCCCCAGCTAACATGCATCCCAGAGGCAGCAGTGGTGGCCTAAGTGGCCGAGTCCCTGGAATCCCCATGGGACACCTGGGCTGAGCTGCCATTCCCGGCTTTGGCCTTGGCCCAGCCACAGCTACGGAAGGTAGCTGGGGGATTCCCCTGCAAGTGGAAACACTCTGTCTCCGTCTCCGGTTCAATACCTCCCCCACAGTGCTATCTTAGCCAACAAGCGACAGTATGGCCTCACCTTCATTGAGAGCAAATGCAGATACCCAGCAATGCCATTTATGAGCAGGAAGGAGCCGTCCGGAGAGACTTCAAAGCTCCTAACTATCCTTTCTTTCAAACCTAAAGAGATGGATCAATTAAAAAGGCTTCATACGGTTTTCAGTAAAGTTCTCTTAAACTGACAACTTCTTACCTCTTAAAATACTTGTCTGAAACAATCTGACCTCACGAACCACTGACTGTAAAACACAAGGTCATTACAGACCTTCAACTAACTTCTCTGTCTTGGTTACCATTTACCTCTTTAATTTCAAGTCAGAGATTCGGCTCTCCCAACAGTAAATTTATCAACTAACTTTTCAAATGTAAGCAGAAAATATATCTGATTAACTAAAAGGAAAAATTCTATTTCTTTGTCACAAAGTTCAGCACCCAAAATGAAAATGCACTGCCACCAAAACAGCCACAAAAGCTAACAGTGGGGCCCGGCAGGATAGCATAGTGGTTAAAGTCCTTGCCTTGAACGCACCAGGATCCCATATGGTCACCAGTCTGAGTCCCGCTGCTCCACTTCCCATCCAGTTCCCTGCCTGTGGCCTGGGAAAGCAGTTGAGGACGGCCCAAAGCCTTGGGACGCTGCACCCGTGTGGGAGACCCAGAAAAGCTCCTGGCTCCTGGCTTCAGATTGGCTCAGCTCCAGCCGTTTAGGTCACTTGGGGAGTGAATCATTGGATGGAAGATCATCCTCTCTGTCTCTCCTCCTCTGTATATCTGGCTTTCCAATAAAAATAAATAAATCTTAAAAAAAAAAAAGCTAACAATGTATATAAATTAGCTGCTGACCACTTAAGCAGCCCATGATGAAGAAGATTCTAACCTTTAACCTCATAAGTCCAAAAAGTAAAATTTCATGTTACCGTTTTGGAGAAAAATTGATCAGCTGGGACCGGTGCTGAGGCATAACAGGTAAAGCCACTGCCTGCCATGTCAGCATCCCATACGGATGTGAGTTCATGTCTCAGCACAGTTAAACAAATTCAGCCTGGGAGAACAGCTTATGCACACAACAGAAACCTTACCTCTCACTTGATGCACAGGAATTAACTTTCCAGCTAACATATCATAGACATAAATAACCTTGCTGTGGGTGCTTGTGGCTAAAACCTCTTCTCCTTTAGCATTAAAACAAGCCTTAAATATTGGAAACTTTTCCAAATAAATGCTCTGGATTTTAGGATTTGTTTTTCCATCAACCTGTAAATACAGAACATTTCCTTGGGTTACTTCCATGGATCTTGTGTGCTGCAGGGAAACACGTTTCACGGGCTTTGCAATGCCTACCTGAAACAGTGACACGGCGTTGTCTAACCCAGCAACCATCACCACCTGTGCACACGGATGGAACTGCACAGATGAGATTTGAGCAACAGTAGGCCGTTCAGCATTAGCATGCTGGCAGTTCTTTATCTACGGAGAAATGAAGCCAAAATTCTTAGTAATTCAAACAGGTTAACATCAGTTTATTCGCAGCATAAAGAAAAGGCATTACAGTTTACAATAGAGAAGAAAGTAAACTGGAGCAGTAACCAAAAGACTATCTCGGCCTTGTCTAGCCAGTTACTTCACAACTCAAGAATCCATTCCTTAGCATGCTTCAAAAGAAGGGTGCAGCATGACTAAGCTGCTTTCTAAGGAGAAATCTAAATTTAACACACGTTCTTGCAGCTAGTATACAGTCATTTCCCTGGATACACCCCATTGGGGCTAGGGGCCTTTCACTCTGTCCCCCAATAAATTATAATGGTTCCCATGTGCCATCTAAATACACCCGTCACTGTAGAACAGGAAAAATACCTCCGTATAGAGTGACCCATTAATTGACAACTATTAACTGAAGCACTGTGCCAGAAGGGCACTTGGTTACGCAGCGAGCCAGCTAGACCCTGCAGCAGTAACTAGTGTAGCACACTTCCGGTCATCCCTTTCCACAGCGCCACTGGAGCAACAAGAAAAGAACAAGCTGTGTGAAGAACAGAGGCACAGAGGAGCGAGACAAAGTTCAGAGGCACAAAAGGACTCAGCATGTTCAAGAAACAGAAAAAGATCAGCCGACAGGAAGGGCCAAGAGGAGGCTGAAGAAGTGGACAGTCCCACTGGGAAGGGTAGTATGGACTATGGTAACTAACCCACAGGCTTTCAGAACGCAGCAACAACAACAACAAAATCACATGAGCTGATTTTTAAAGATCTGCTTATTTCTTCAAAAGGTAAACTGACAGAGAAAGAGAGCTTCCATCCAATTGGCCACAGCGTACCTAGATCAAGCCAGGAGCCAGAAACTGCATTCTTGGTCTCCTACACGGGTGACCTGGGCCAAGTTGTTTAAGTTATCCTTAGCCACATTCCCAGGGAGCTAGATCAAAAGGGGAATAGCCAAAGCTTGATTTGGGGTGCCTGAGATGCAAACAGTAGCCCAAGCCACTGCACCACAAGGCTGGCCTGCTAATTTTTGTTTGTTTCTTTTTAATTTGAGAGAAAGAGGGTAGGGAAGAGGGGACAAGGCAGGGAAAGAGAAGTAAGAGACACAGAAAGTGCTCCTCCATCGGCTCAAATTCCCATACCAGCTGGACTAAAGCCAAGAGCCAGGAACTCAACCCAGGTGCCTTTCTAAGTGGCAGGAAGCCAGGCTCTTGAGCCATCACACTGCCACCCAGGGTGCACTTCAGTAGGAGGCTAGAGTTAAGAGCCCAAGTAGAAATAAAACCCAAGCATTCCACTTCAGGACACAGACCCCTCAACCAGCACCTTAACTGCTGGGGAAGTACCCTTCTCCATGTTTTATTAAAAAGCTCCCTCAGGGGCCTGGTGTGGTAGCCTAGCAGCTAAGTCCTCACCTTGCACATGCTGGGATCCCATATGGGTGCCGGTTCATGTCCTGGCCATTCCACTTCCCTTCCAGCTCCCTACTTGTGGCCTGGGAAAGTAGCAGAGGACGGTCCAAAATCTTGGGACCCCGTACCCACTTGGGAGTCCTGGAAGAAGTTCCTGACCCCTGACTTCAGATCAGCTTAGCTCCGGATATTGCGGCCATTTGGGGAGTAACCAGTGGATGGAAGATATTTCTTTTCATCTCTCCTTCTCTTTTAAATCTGACATTCCAATAAAAATTAAATTGAAAAAAAAAAAAAAACCCTCCCTCAGGCTACTATGTAAAGAATGGTTTGGGAAGAAATCAAGTGGAAATGGAGCGGTCACTCAGAAAGCCACCGCAGTGTGCCAAGTGAGGTGACAGCAAGAACGGACTAGGCTGCTGCTAGAACGAATGAAGAGCAACACAAAGGAAGAAATCAAACAGAACCAGAATTACAGGGGACGAAATGCAATACCTTAAGCCTTTTCACAAAAGGAAATACATCTACCATGCGTATTGACAAGACAGACAAGAGAGCTTCACACACGAATAACTGAGAAGCAGGCTGGTGGTTGAGTAAACGCTGGGCAGACTTCACCGACTCTCACCTTCAAGATTCCCCTTGGAAGAGAAGCCGAGGTGGAGAGGAAATTTCCAGTCCTTTGCAACAAATCATCTTCATCTTCACTTTCATCTAAGTTAAACAAACCCACAATACTGGTCTTTAGAATCAGGGAGGTGGCCCTTTGTCGCTCCCAAACTTCTGTTATTTTCAACATCAACTCCAGCCTCCCAACCTCAATCATTTTCTTAAAATTACAAGTGGTCAAGGCAAAACAGCAAACCATTATGAAGAAGAGAAGTGTGACAGAGACTTTAGCATAGAATGTTAAGTCCAAGGTGGATTCCGGAATTAAAGTAACACATAAGCAAGATGAAGAAAGAGCAAAAATTAAATCCACTCCTACACAGAAAACAGCACTTGTAAAAATGGTAAATGCATTATAGAGTGGACAGATGCAGCTTTATAAACTCACATGAAGGTGGACTTCGCGCTCAGAAAGATCAGTGTCAGTACACTGCGCACAGCTTCCAGAACTAATGGGGCGGCTTTTCCCGGGCAGATGACTCGTGATCCCAAGAGACAGCTGAGAAGCACAGCAAGCTTCCCAAAACACTGAGCAAGCAAAAACTACACTGAAAACTCCTAAGCTTCTTGAGGGATTCTGGTAAAAACCCCAACCTTTGAGGGAATTGAGGTTACAAAAGCCTGCACCCAGGACCAAAAAGGCAATCAACTGCAGGAAAAATTTCCAAGAGCTGCCCCGCAGCTTTGAGTCCTCTCAAGTGCTCAGTGCAGCAAGAGGCTCTGGGATGGCCAGCAGCCCTGCACAGCTACTTTCCCTGAAACAAACATACAAAACTAGCATCCTGGATCCAACCAATCCATATGGGATCTTGCTACGCTCAAGGGGAGACCTATATTACATTTCCTGGCTTCCAAATACAGTTCCGGCTTTCCCAGTTCATGCCTGATTTGGGGTACTAAACCAGCAGATGGAAGCTCTCAGTAAAAAAAGAAGAAGAAAGAAAACAAACAAACTTACGGCCCAGCGTGGTGGCCTAGTGGCTAAAGTCCTTGCCTTGAACCTGCCAGGATTCCAAATGGGCACTGGCTCTAATCCTGGTGGCCCCACTTTCCATCCAGCTCCCTGCTTGTGGCCTGGGAAAGCAGTAGAGGACGGCCCAAAGCCTTGGGATCCTGCACCCATGTGGGAAACTCGGAAGAAGCCCCTGGCTCCTGGCTTCAGATTGGCTCAGCTCTGGCCTTTGTGGCCACTTGGGGAGTGAATCATCAGACAGAAGATCTTCTCTGTCTCTCCTCCTCTCTGTATATCTGACTTTCCAATAAAAATTAATAAATCTGGGTCCCGCGTTGTGGCCTAGCAGCTAAAGTCTTCACCTTGAATGTACCAGGATCCCATATGGGCTCCGGTTCTAATCCCAGCAGCTCCACTTCCCATCCAGCTCCCTGTTTGTGGCCTGGGAAAGCAGCTGAGGATGTCCTAAAGCCTTGGGACCCTGCACCCACGTGGGAAACCTGGAGGAAGTTCATGGCTCCTAGTGCAGCACCGGCCGTTGCGCTCACTTGGGGAGTGAATCATCGGATGAAAGATCTTCCTCTCTGTCTCTCCTCCTCTATATATATCTGACTTTGTAATAAAAATAAATAAATCTGAAAAAAAGATCTTTTATAATAAACTTATAAGTTCAAAAGGGAAGACTAGAGAACTATCAATATTTAAAAAAAAAATTTACTTATTATCATTTGATATATTTAAGGCAAAGATATTGCTGCAGAAAAGAATCTCACAGTTGTAGAGACCAGCCTCACTGTCATAATTTCATCAGTCTTCAAAAGCATCTCTCTGGAACAAGGGATGGGCTCCTGTACTTCAACAGCATGCGGTGAAGGGACAGGGTGTGGACAGGACATGGGGGCAGCTGCAGGTGGTCGTCCACTGAAAGCCCATCAGATTCCCCAGCGACCAAGGAAAGCTCCGCCCTCTGTGAGCACAGACCCGAGTTCCCGCAGGCCTTCAAAGGCTGAGTCCAAGTGTGAAATGCAGAACTCCAATCAGATCATCTCATCCAATCCTGGTTAAGCCCTCCCACTCCAAAGCACCACAAAGCAGCACGTCCTTATCAGCATACAAGCCAACCTAGAACCTGGAGCTCAAGACAGCCTTTGGTGAAACGCGTAACCACCTACGCTGGACCTGCCGTGTCCCGCTGCTGAGGAGATGCTAAAGCCACTACCCATGTCGTCACTGGGACTCGGAATCAACACACAGTACCACTTGTTCTCCCTTCCTCATATGCCATTATGCAGCAGGGTTTAGCTGAGAAACACAAAATTCATCACCTGTTTGCCTCGCAGTAGACGGCTTGCCAGAGGTTGAGTATCTCTGATCTGATCTGTCTGAAATCCCAAGTGCCCAAGAGTCTGCCTTCTTGTCGCGTTTTTTAGTAACTGTACGCACATGCGATGGTGTGGGCATGGAGTCCAATTCTGAACATCCAATTCATTTACGTCCCACGCATAGCTCACACACAGTCTGAAGCTTTACCCTGTATCCTTCATTTTGATGGTATGCAACTCACTACGTTTACCATCATACCAACGTTCCAGAACTGCAGATTTTAGAGAACTTGGGATCTCAGGTTTTTGAACCAGGGATGCTCAATCTGTTTTAAATCTTACATTATTTATAGAGGGCTTCCTACAGTGAAATTACACACTCCAAAGCAGGACATTAAAAAAAAAAAAGACATCTTCAAAATTCTCAGCTGTAACAAACCTAAGAAAGCTCAAATGATAGAAATGGGGGGAGAAGGCTTTTCCTTACTGACATGAGTTATCAGTGCTCACCATCTGAAGATGTTTTCCGCTTATTATTTTCTGCCCAGGCAGGTACGCCCCCCATGGCATGCTGGAATCTAGGGAAAAACAGAAAAAATTTCTAAATCCAAAGGAATACTGGCAAAATTCTGGAGAGTAGGGGAATGCTTCTTTTCAAAAGAATGTCCATCAGGAAAATGCAGAATGAAAGAATTTCCATCAAGAAATTTAGAATGGGGCCTGGCATGGTAGCCTAGTGGCTAGAGTCCTCACCTAGCACGTGCTGGTTCTATTCCTGGCTGTCCCACTTCCCACCCAGCTCCCTGCCTGTGGCCTGGCAAAGCAGTTGAGGACAGCCCAAAGCCTTGGGATCCTGCACCCATGTGGGAGACCCAGAAAAAGCTCCTGGCTCCTGGCTTCATATCGGCTCAGGTCTGGCTGTTGCACCCATTTGGGGAGTTAATCAGCGGATGGAAGATCTTCCTCTCTTGTCTCCTCTCCTGTATATCTGCCTTTCCAATAAAAACAAATAATTCTTAAAAAAAAATGGGAAAATGTGCTTTAAAAAAAAAGAATTTAAAATGAGAAATGGCATAATATGCAACAAAATCCATACAAGTTCCAAAGGTTTAAAGCTGTTCACACAGGGCCCAGTGCAACAGCTCAATTGGCTGACCCGCCCCCTGGAAGCGCTGGGATCCCATAGGGCGCTGTCCCTGACCTGATGCCCCAGTGCCCACCCAGCTCCCTGCTAATGCATCTGCACAAGCAGCAACATGCGGCCCAAGTGCTCCCCACCCTGCCAGACTCGATGGAGTGCCAGACTCCCAGCTTCAGCCTGGCCTCTGACTATTGCAGGCATCTACAGTGAGCCAAGGGTGGGAGATAGCTTTCTCTGTCTTTAAATAAGTGAATCTTTTTTTAAAAAAACAAAAATGGAGACAGACCATGACACCAGGAACTCTGTGGACTTGCATTCCACAGTGACAGCTTCGACAGCCTGTGTAGTTCATCCTGACCATCTGTACTAACCACCCGTCAGACAAGCCACAATCCTACTCCCAGAAATACATCCCGGTCCTCTCATGGAGACGCTCACAGGGTGCTCTGGCTCAGCAAATTTAATAAGACCATCTTTATACATCAATAATTTCCAAGACCTTCTTTTTATCAGGGGGTTCAAGAACAACAAATTTTTCTAAAACATTTGTAACAACTACTGTTTAAAAAAAAAAAGGCAGTAATAATCAACAATGCTTTGTGTGAAATTAGAGTGCCCTGGGACAAGACAGGCCCTCACTGCCCCAGGACTTCACAGAGATTCCCCAGTCCTCACCGGCCTCCAGGGCAGGGTGGCGCACCCCAGAGGCACCTGCAGTGAGCAGGCAGAAAGGGGCACACTCTGCAGCACTGAGGGCCTTCTCACCATGTGCAAGTCCACACCATCCCAACACTCCTTTTGCAAAAACACTTAATCTGATTCTAATCAAGCTCTTGCATCTATTTTCACAGAAAATAAGAGCTCACACAAGAACAAGATGAACAACAGGAAATAATCTGAGAGGAAGAAACGGGCGTGACTGAAGGCTACAAGGGTTTTCCTTTAGGGAGGTGAAAGTGTTTCGGAAGGAGAATTAAGAAGCAGCTGCACAACACTGACGACATACTAAATGCCAGTAAATTGTGTCATTTGACATAGTTAACTTTGTGAATTTCAGCTACAGAAAGAAAAAATGAGACATTTTCAGGATGCAAGGTATTCCACAACATAATATTATCTAAACAGCACAAAAAAAATTAACGTCACAGGAAAAAAACTAAAATAAATAAACAGTTTTAAGTGACATCACAGCCAGGGCCGACACTGTGGCATAGCGGGTAAAGCCGCAACCTGCAACACCAACATTCCATGCGGCTGCTCCACCTGGTTCAGCTCCCCACTCATGTACCTTGTGAAGCAGCACAAGATGGCCTGAGTGCCTGAGCCCTAAACACTTGTGGGAGACCAGAAGGAATCCCTGAGCCCTGGCTTTGGTCTGTCCAAATTCCAGCCATGACACCACTAGGGCAGTGAACTAGCCAACGGAAAGCCCCTCTCTGTCTCTTCCTCTCAGCGTAACTCAAAGTTCTAAAGAAGCAAATAAATCTTTAAAACAAACAAACAAAAAACACATAAAATCCAAACGTAGTATACGCATCTTGTGACAATTGGAGAAATTAAACTAGACAGGTCATTAACTACTACTTTATTGTGATAACGGCACTGCACACAGGAAAGAAAACCCCTTAATGTCAGGCCAGGGAAGGAACCATGAAATTATCTGGTCTGCCCCTGCCCAGGCAACCACAGGCGGGGCCTGAAATCCAGCACACCTACAGCAAGATCACTTTTACACTGGTGCTTCTGTATGTCTCACAAATGAGGTTATTAACAGCCAAAAGGCCCTCGGTAGAAAAAGGGTTCCACCGCTCGCGCCTGTCAGGCAGCACGCTGCGACGAAAGCAGGGCTAGTGCTCCACATCAAACACACTTCATTCTCTGCTGGGAAAAGACTCACCCCGAACATGAACAGCACATGCAGCCAAATGTTCAAATCCCACTGGACATCAGATGGCAGGAGTTCACATATGTGCAAATTTACAGATGAGAAAATCATGAGAACGAACAAGCGAGTGATACTACCACTGATTATGTCTGACTGATAGAATTTTAAGTGGTTTTTTTCCAAATTTTCTTTGTGTTTGCTTTTCTCCCTACCCTTCAAAATCCCCAACTCGCTCTATTGCCCCCAACAGCAAGGACGACCAAACGGAAATCTGACTACCCAAAAAGCTGCCAGAGCCAAAAACAGAATCAACCAAAACCACTGATTACAAACCCTTAGTCCATTACAAGAAAAGGGACACTCACTCCTCTTTAAGTCTCTTTTGAAGTTTCTCTTTTGAAAGTTTACTTTCACTTGCATTTTTCATCATATCTTTCCGAAATCGATTATTCACCATGTCAACCCTACAAAAAAAAAAAACAACATTGTAAGCGACTTATAAAGTCAACACAAATAGCTGTTGTGCTTAGTATTTTGAGAATATATTGATTGAAAAAATGTGAAAAAATAATACAGGTCCAGATGTGTAACACAAAAGACCCTTCACATGCTTCGTCATTCCTCCTGCAACAGAAAGGCACCTCCGTCGTCCTCTAGTCCGTCCTTTGCAGGGTTTCTACGCTAAAAATTCATCAACTAGACAAAGTTTACACCATCTTCCAAAATAAACCACAAATAAACTGAAAAGTTACAAATGTATTAAAAGCAAACTTAAAAATATACTGAAGGAAAAACACAGGCGAGTGCTGTCTCTGAAAAACAACATACTGTTAGAAGCAAAGGAAAACACTGATGCAAAAAGATTCACAGGTTCAAACAGAAACTGAGGCGGCGGGGGCCTGGTGCAGCAGCGTGGGCCCCTCGGTGAGTCTGGGGTTCAAGTTCCTGCTCCACTGCCAAGTCCAGCTTCCTGCCGGCTGCACCCTGCGGAGCAACAGTGAAGGTTCCTCCTGAGTTCGTCACTGGGTCCCACGCCCCTCAGGGACACCTAGAGCTTGTTCTGTACATCCGGCTTGTCAGCATCTGGGCAAAGCACCAGCAAATGGAAGATCTCTGTATGTCTTCCTCTGCCCTTCTGCCTTTTGAAAAGATAAATATTTTAAAATCTTAACTTCTGTGTTGAAGGAAAATTTCCAATGGCTCTGACAATAAAAGGTCTGAAATCCTCAGTAGGAATTAGCAGACTAAGATCACAAAGGAAACATCTCTGATAGACCAGCAAACAAAGATGTCATAGAGGAAAAAAATGCCAATAGCTAGTAACAAGATGTTTTCTCAGCTCACAGTAAGTTGAGATATTTCACACCACCACTGACAAAGTTTAAAAAAGAAATAACTACTTACAAGAATGGACTGAAATGAACAAATTGCTTTAATGAGATGAAAAACCAGTGTGCAGTCTTAACTGTATTTATCAAGAGCGTCTGGGCTCTTGGGTCAATTCTACTTAAAAAAAAAAAAATCCTTTTTGGGACTGGCACGATGGCTCAATTGGCTAATCCCCTACCTGCGAGCGCCAGCATCCCATAAGGGCACTGCTTTGTGTCTCCTCTGCTCTACTTCCCATCCAGCTCCCTGCTTTCAGTCTGGGAAAGCAGCAGCAGATGGCCCAAGTTCTGGGGGCCCTGCACTCATGCGGCAGACACAGAAGAGGCTCGCGGGGTCAGACTGGCACAGCTCAGCTCTAGCCATTGTGGCGATTTGGGCAATGAATCAACAGATGAAAGATCTCTGTTTAAAAACAAATAATTTTTAAAAAACCTCTTAAGAAACTACAAAAACCTTAACAACATGTTTATTCACAAAGATATATTTCAAAGTTAAATATAACATTCATTCACTTATGAGTGAGAATAAGAAAATGTATCAGCAGCTATGTGAAATGTGGTTAATTCATGCAAGGAACCACAACACAGCGGACAGAAAAGCCCTTACAATGGGACTTTGCAGAGGGAAAAAGAAAATCAAAACATAAGTGGGCAGTGGATTCTCACTTATGAACTTATATTCCATATGTGCCAGTTGGATTGTTCAGTCCCCGGCATTGTGTAACAAATTTTACAAGTACTATTTCATTTAATCCGCAGAGCTTTCTGATATAGGTGCACTTTATAAATCAAAAAGACAGACTCCAACCATGCCCATGGGCAGTGGGTAACTGGCAAAACTCAGGTCTGAGTACAAACATGGTTCTCCTGGCCAGTCCACACAGCACAGGGGACACGGGCAGTCAGGTAGGCCAGCACAGGACTCCCCCGGGGGACAGTGACCCTCGACTGCATTTTCAACGTTTCTCAACTCTTCACATAATTGTGTATTCACAGGGATTAATTTTAAAATCTGCACTAAAACTTTTAAAGTGCCCAGAGGCGTTCTAGAAGAAAAGTCAAGCAACTCACATTTCTTCATCTTCATCTTCTTCGTCCACCCACACTGGCTTCTTCTGAGTTGGAAAACTACCTTTTGCTTCATTTTCCACTTCCGAGTCACCGGAGTCTTCACAGACAGGAGCCTACGGAGAGAAGACAAGACAGCTTGGAGCCCTGAGCGTTCCACCCCACGGTGGCGGATACCCGGCCCTTTCAGTTAGACGGCTGGTGGGATGCTGCCACCATGAATGCTGGAGACAGAAGCAGAAAACGAGACCAGAGAGCAGCAGCACGGGCAGCACAGGCTGCAACGGTCAAGGACACCACGCCCACTTGCTGACAGCTACCGACCCAGTAGGAGAACAGGCTGACATCGGAGGGCAGGCATGGCATGTGGCCAGCAGGGCACACACCGCAGGCTCAGACGCTAACAAGGTTAAATGTCCCAATTTGTCTCACATCCTTAGTTGGATATTTCTTCATTTTCCACTATTATTGGTCTCCTCCCTCCTTAAGGAACAATCCCACACTATCAAAATGCAATCTTACAATACATGATATCGGCTCTAAAGCGAGCTTGAACCTTCCCAAAACCCCAGCGACAGAAACGGCCAGGTGATTTCTACCGGCACTGCCGCCGGTTTAAGGTCCTTCCAGGGCAAGGTCGGGGGTAGGGGAACAGTTCGCCTGGCCTGGGTCCTTCGGTCCCGCTGAGTGGGTGCCGGGTGTGCGAGCCCCGGGGATGGGAGGTCCAGCGGGGCGGAGTCCAATCTGGAAGCCGTGTCTCACCCACTCTCCCCTAGCCAGCGCCAGTCATCAGGTGAGCCATTACCCCTGTGCCAGCTGAAGAGGCCAAGATGCACAGAACCCTGCTCCAAAGCCGGCGTGCATCACGCCCACTCGCCGGAGGGAAGATGCCCACCGAGGGACTCGTCCGATCCGGCGAGCCGAGCCGGACCCCGACCCGCCGCCCGGGACTCCCGCCCGGCCCGCCGCCGCAGGTCTCCCGGGCTCCGCCCCCGGGCCCTCGCCGCCCACCGCGCGCCCCGCCCGAGCGGCCTCCCTCACCGGCGGGCCCCGCAGGCGCCGCAGCAGCGCGTCCTCGTCGTCCTCGACGTCGCCGAAGATGAACTCCTCCAGACAGCGCTCCACGTCCGGCTTGTCCTCCTCCAGCGTCAGGCGGTTGCGCTGCCGGAGCAGTCTCTCGTCCTCCTCCGCCGCCACGGCCATCGCAGCGGCCACCGCGCTGGGCCGCGCCGGAGCCTTCGGCTGGGATGAAGGGGCGGCCTTTAAGGGCGGCCCGCCCGTCCTGGGCCCGGCTGTCCCCGCTGCCTTCGTGCGCGTCCTACGGTCCGGCTTCGTTCCGGTTTTCCGGCCCGGTTTCATCGGGCGCCTACGTTCCGGCGGCATCGCGGAGTTTGGAGAAGAAACGCAGGCGCTCACGTGGAAACCCCTGCGCATGCGCCCAGGCACCTCTCCGTCAGCGGCCGCCGCAGCCCCGAGGGTCACAAGGAGCCTGCGCAGACTCTCACCACGTGACCAATACTCACCACCACCACCCCCTCACTACGTCACGCCGTTCTCTCCATCTGTCCCGCCCCTTGTGGGCGTTCCTTCGGGAGACTTCATCTTCCGGGTGTAGGGGGAAGCGGCGTGACTGGAGTGGAAACATTTTCCAACACAACTTCGCAGCTGGAATATATGGAAAGAGGCGTAAGGGAAGTGGAGCGTAAATTGGGATGACCGAGTGGAAATTCTCCTCTCCCTCCGGACTTCATAGCCACCCGACTGGACACCAGCCTCAGTTACCTTTGCCACCCTCGGTCTTGGTACGGTCCGTAGCGTACGGAGCCTGCCGAGGGTCCCACGCTGGAAGAGCGAGAGGAGGGTATGTGGGGAAGTGGGCCAATCGGGGCGCGGGTCACGGCGCAGGCGCGCTGGGAGGGAGGGCTATGCTAATGTTGTTGATATCCTGGGGCCACCCGAGTTAAAGGGGGGGAAATCCGGGGGCTGCCGCAGCCGCCGCGGGTTTGGGCCCAACCGGGGACCCCTGTCGTCGCCGCCATCCCGGGGAGAGGCCCTTGCCCCCCACCTCGGGGCGGGGGCGCCGCGGGCTCGGGGAAGCACGGACAGCCCCTACCCATGAGGCCCTGATGGAAAACACAAAGGATCGGGTGAGAGCCGAGCGCGGCGGCCGCTTTGTGTGGCAGCTTGGGGTGGGGGGAGGCCCGCCCGCAGCTCCGGGACCCCCGCTCCCAGGCCCGCTCCTCCATCCCACGCCCCCGCCACCCGCGGAGCCCCCTCCCCCTCCCGGCCGTTAACCGACGCCGGGGCTCCCCTCCCCCCCACACGCCCTCCGCCGGGGGCTGGCCGAGCTTCCCTCCGCCACGAGAAAGAAAATAGTGAAAAAGTTTATATCTCTCCGCGTCCCTCCCCTCTCCCACCTCGGCTCCGGCCGCGACTGGGTCTGAAGGGGAGAGGGAATAAATAACAATAATAATAATAATAGTAACAGCAAGCCAGTGCGGGTGGGAGGGTCGGGAGCGCCCTTCCCGGGTGGCTTGGGGGCTTGGCCGGGGGAGGCGCCGCGAGGCGTCGCGCACGTGGAGGTGGCGAGGTTGCCAGGGGGCGGGGTGGGCACGTGTGGGAAGGCGCGGTGGGAGTGGTGTCGGGGCTGCGCCCGGGCGGGTGGGCTTTTCTCTCGGGTCAAGTCCGTCTGGGGACGTTTTCAGAGCCGGAGGAGACGTTAGAGGTCACGCCGAGCCGCCGTCGCCCCGCAGCCTCCCTGACAGGCGGTAGGTAGTCCTCCCCGGGTCGGGCGTGTGTGCCAGGAAAGCCCCTGTCCTTGTCGGATCGCCCCGTGTCATTCAGGGCCTGGTGAAGTCGCTGGGTGTGTGAATTTCTCAAATTTTCTCTCACATCCTCCTCAGCCACCCCACTGTTCATTGGCCTATATTTCGTGTGCTGGGAAAGAACAGCGGGGAAGTGGAGGAAAGAGAATGAGAGAGAGAGCGAGCCCGCTGAAAACTTCGGCCGCTTTCAGATGTTGCGAGTTGTGTCTGAAGACGTGCGTGTGCGTGTGTGTGTGTGTGTGTGTGATGTGCACACGCAGGAAAGCTGACAGCTGTCACCGGTCCCTGCGGCTTTTCAAAGCTGGACGTTTGGGCGTCATCTCTGTGGCTCTGCGGTGAGGCACGGCTGCAGGTTGCCTAAGTCCCTCTCCCTGAGGAAGCCCCAGATGGCCTTGTGGGGAAAACACTGGAGCCCAAAGAAACCTCACCTGGTAGAGGGCTGAGAGGCAGCACGGCCTCCCTGCAGCTCCACTTCCCCTTGGTTTCCTTGCGAAGTGGTCTCCCACCCTCCCAAGCGCCTGTAACAACTCATTGATGTATACCACATCCCAACCTTGCTTGCTGTAGTTGGTATTTTAATGCTTCCCGGTGTTTACCCCTTGGTAGTTGAGGCAATCCAATGTCAGATTGTCGCTTCGAGATTTTTCTGTCAGCTGTGCGGCTCCAGCAGCAGAAGGGGAAGGGGGAGTGTGTGTTCCCCTTTGCAGTTCCAGTGAAGGGCAAGCCAACGCACAGCATATATTATGCCAAGCTAGGGCATGCATTTAACCTGAAGTTGCTGATGCCCTATTTAAAAGGTTAGCGCGCACACCCCTTTTCCTCTCCCCCTTGTATGACTTGGAAGTGTCCGCTTTGCTTCTGAGTACTTAGACTGTTACTGTGTTTTTCATTTGTTTGCCTCAAAACCAGAGAGTGTTTATTAAGAAAATATTTGTCCTTTTTTGCACCATCTCCTCTGAATAACAAGTCACTTTTCTAAAGAACACCGCACTTAAGGCCTCTGTATGTCTTACATATTGTAGCACAACTCTGTTTTGAGTAAAGTTCTTACAGTGTGTTGTTATGTAGGTTTATTTATGTGCAAGTTTTAATTTCATGTTAACTCTCACGTAACATTTTCTCTGAAGTTAGACAGTCGAATTTAACATGAAATGGAGTACTGCATCCTAAGAGAAAATTAATTGAGCTACATGTTTGTATCTTTAAAATTTTTCGTTAGTACAGAGTTCCAGGTTGTTTTCCTGCTCACTTTCAGCATGAACTGTCATGACTAAAGTTGACTGACTTTGGAGATATTTGCATTCTAAACACACTAGACAGGAACAACTGGTTTTATTTTTAAAAGAAGACACTGCCATATTTTTTTTATGGCTGGTTGTTAAACCTGCCATAGTAGTCAAAGGAGGTAAAACTCTGGTTCCTGGCTATTAAACTGCTACATTATTGAGCCACAAGTGCTCAGTGGTCTGAGTGACCACATTCAAAAACCAGAAAAGTCAGGGTTGAGTTCCTCCATTTGTCATCTTTAAAATGTCTGCTATGTAGGATTTTGTATTTCACAGTTATTTCAGGGTAAGCCAGTTAATAGGCTCCGCTGATCTCGGGCTTTCAACTCCAGGAGTTCCAGCACCACCAGGACGGGGGAGTGGGGCTAGAAGGAGTAAAGGATGTCTCCCGTGCTCTAAACTCTCCAGGATGACTTGGATTGTACGCAGAGCTTGTAGATTGGTTTAGGTTAGTCATTTTTATTAGGGTGTACTTGTTTGAAAGGGAGAGTGACAGTTCGTCCATCTGCTGCTCCAGTTGCCAAGATGGCCGTTATGGCAGAGCCGTAGCCCGGAGTCCAGAATTTGACCCAGGTCTCCCAGGTGGGTAGCAGGGGCTCAGACCCTGGAGCCGTCCTCTGCTGCCTTCCAGGTGCTTTACCAGGGAGGTGGATTGGCAGTGGACAGTGAGGCTCAAGCTGGCGCTCATGAGAGGCCACCACTGCGGAGAGCAGCTCAGCACCACAGCACTAGTCCTGTCAGTTGTTTTTGGGGAGTGGTTGGTTGGTTTTCTTAGTGCTATACATTGTTTGGTTAAGAGTTATTGTCAAGGACAATGAGCCACAAATTTGAAATTTCTGTAATTTACTTTGCTGGAACATACACACATCAAATAGATAAACAAATAACTAAATAAAAGTGGAAAGAAAATAACCTCCATTTAGACAAACCCTGAGTATGGAGTATGATGGGGTACTCCAGCAGATGAAGTTAGGCCAGTTCCCGGTAGAACTGAATTCTATGTCCGTGCTGTGCAGTAGATGAGCCAAAATGCACGTACAACCGTTGAATATTTTTTTGAAGATTTATTTTATTTTTATTGGAAAGGCGGTTGTACAGAGAGGAGAAACAGAGAGGAAGATCTTCCGTCCAATGGTTCACTCCCCAAGTGAACGCAACGGCCGATCTATGGTCCGAAGCCAAGAGCCTCTTCCAGGTCTCCCACGCGGGTGCAGGGTACCGAGGCTGTGGGCCGTCCTCTACTGCTTTCGGGCCACAGGCTGGGAGCTGAATGGGAAGCGGGGCTGCCAGGATTAGAACCAGCGCCCATATGGGATCCCAGGCATGCAAGGCAAGGACCATAACCACTGAGCCATCCCGCTGGGCCCCCGTTGAACATTTTTTACAAAGTAGCTTATGAGAGGGAAGAACTCAATATTTTCATCAACACAGACTTAAATAGCCTTATGACTACCATGTTAGACTTGCAGTTATAGAACAGTGTTTTCAAAGCTTAGTTAATGACTAGAATCACCTTTTGGAGTTTTTTCAGTTTAAACCCAGGAAGTTTTCATATTGATTGATCGCAAGGACACTGCTTTGATGATTTCTAAGCTTCCAGTTCTGACTTTGGTCTTGATAGTTTAGAATTCAGTGTAATGGTTCTGGAAAGTCAGCCTGCTGTTGGGCTAGCTCTGCCACTTCGTGAGCTATAATGCTAGGAAGATTGCATAATCTCCCTGAATTTCATTTTTTCATCTGAAGTGATGGGGTAGATATCAGCTGTGCCACCTTCCTGAGGTTTCTGAGGACCCCCCCCCCGATTCATGTGATGATCAGTGTAGAAGAATATGTAAGCGGTTATATACGTATTAAGTATAATGATGTCTCCCCAAAATTCCTGTTTTTCTTTTCCTCCTCACCATTATGTAATTCCTGTTCTCACAAAAAGCGTGATATTCACTTGTTTCATTAGTAATTCCCCGTAGCTTATTCTTGTTTAGTGATTATGTGTTTTCATCATTAAGTCTCATTTATAGTTTTTAAAGGCAAACACCGTGTCATTATCTGTCAATATTCTGTCGAACCAACATTAGGCTGAGCAACCTGCTTTACTTAGTTTCTCCATAGTAACATATTAACAAATGATCTTGATTGCCATTACAATGTTTTGGGATAGAGATAATGGATAGCTGTTAATGAACTTAAGATGCTTTAGGCTAGTATGTGTTCTCAGACTTGATTTTGACACAGTCATCTTACTTTTCAACAATTTTCAGGATCATACTTAAGGATTCCTAGCTTGCATCTGAAGAACGGAAA